CTTCCAAGAAAAAAAGAAAAAAAAAAAAAAAAAAGGCCGAGAAAGGTATAAATGTCAAATGATTTTTATTTTTTTATTTTTATTTTTTTTAAACATCGTCGTGGCCCAGTGGACCACGGATCAGATATTAAACTGATAATGATCAGAACAGATACATAGCCAAAAGGCCGAGAAAGGTATAGATAAATGAAGTCTCACTTCCCGAAACTACCTAAATGGCCACACACGCACACAAAAAAAAAAAAAAAAACTACGTAAATGACACTATAAAATCATATACGTGTACTGGGACTTTTGTACTTATTTCGGGACGGAATTGCGGCCAGATGCATCCACGTGCGGCCGTAAATGCGGTCAGATACATTTAAGCTAGTGCCGGTGTGAGCACGCCCTAACACTCTCTAAAATACCTTATTTCAACAAAAAAAAAAAAAAAAAAAAAAAAAAAAACTTTAAAAAGCCTAAAAAATTACCTCAGACGTCCCCTGAATCTGGGTCGTCCTTTCAAAATTCTCCTCGGACGTTGCTACTGTTTCCAATGAATCTGGCCGAAAAAAGGGTAAGGTACGTCCAAGAACGTTCATCCAAACATGCATATGATGCTGCTTATGCTCTCGCCGAATGATTTCTCTCTTCTCTTTGATGTCGGTTTAAATATGCGACTACTAATTCGAGTGAATCTAGCCGGAATCAGGGTCAGGTACGTTCAAGAACATTCCCCGCAGCATGCATATTTCTCCTTCTAGTGACCCCGAATATGCGTCTCTGTACTTTACGTTTGATGAGGCGACTACCAATCTGATTGAATTTGAATTCGTCCCGAAATTGCGGTCACGTACATCCAAGAAAGTTCATTCACAACAAAACGTGAATATCCCGCGTGAATATGGCTGCCCCTTATGCTGTCGCCGTCTCCGTAATGTATGTTTAGTGTGGGAGGACTAATTCGAATGAATATGGCTGGAATTACGGTCGTGTACGTCCAAAAATGTCCATTCTCTCAAAGCTTGAATATGCCTGCCTCTTCCCGCTGTCCCCGAATTTTTCATCACTGTAATGAATGTTTGATGAGGCGCGTACTTGTTGGACTGAATCTAGCCGGAATTTAGGGTCAGGTACATCCAAGAATGTTCATTCCCAAAGGATGAATATGCCTCCTGCCCCGTATGTTGCCGCCGAATGGTTCTCTCGTCTGTGATGAATGTCTGATGTCACTCACTCCACCGGTCGGCTGAACCTGGTCGGAGTTAGGATCAAGTACGTCCAAAAAAAATCATTCACAAAAGCATGAATTAATATGCTTCCCTCTTATGCTGTCGCCAAATGATAATCTCTTCTCTGGGCGTTGCCGCACGGCACACGAAGCGAAAAACGAAACGAATGTATCTTCCCCCAGAAAATGGCCAGGTTCATCGGTTTGCTATAAATAGTAACGAGTGTATTTTGCCACCTTTGGTGGGCAGATGCACTCGTTACGTTTTCGTTTCCTGTGCCGTGCGGCGAGACCCTCTGTTTGTATGTTTGATCTCACTCCACCGCTCGTCTGAATCTAGCCGCAAATAGGGTCACGTACGTCCGAGAATGAACTTCATTCGGACCTCACAAAATTCCTTCCCTTCAATCCGACCCACCCATTATTCCATCTGCTGACGTGGCGCAACCGGCCGAATTATCATCACGATAGACACCGTTCGCCTGAATCTATAGCGTGGAATAAGGTCAGGTACGTCCAAGAATGCTCATTCACAAAGAAGGAAATTGGCTTTACCATCATGCTGTCGCCAAATGATAATCCCTTCTCTGTGATGTATGTGTTCGATC